CACATAAAAAAGGTGGTTACTACCGCAAACGTGTCAGTAGAGGATCAACTCAGCAAACACCAGGAAGAACTAGAGTGATGCCGCGGAACAGGAGGACAGCTCTCCAGAAACAAAAAGGCAAAGGCTTCCAAGCTCTGAGCAAGGAGATAAACAGATAAAATCAGAAAATTGCAGCTCTCTATTAGGAGAGATAAGCAAACAGTTATAGAATAGAGGAAAATGGGAAAGAAAGCATCAAAAATAACTATAACCACTTCAATTTGGTCACAGACTCACAACACAAAAAAGAATAATTTGTAACAACAAAAACACACAAGGGGAAGAGGAAAGCGATGGAACTTGCACAGGCTAATGGAGATAGGCGATCAGAAAATGGACTATCTCATCTGTGAGATCTTTTGTACAAACCTCATGGTAAACACCAAACGAAAAATCACAGAACACCACCAAACTGGAATGGCAGGCAGAAATACAAGGGAAAAGGAACAACGGAAATATAGAACAACTGGGAAACAAAAGATAAAACGGCAGTACTAAGCCCTCATATATCAATAATCACTCTAAAGGGAAATGGATTGAATTCTCCAATCTAAAGACACAGAGTGGGGGCTGGCCCCGTGGCCGAGTGGTTAAGTTCGCGCGCTCCACTGCAGGCGGCCCAGTGTTTCGTTGGTTCGAATCCTGGGCGCAGACATGACACTGCTCATCAAACCACGCTGAGGCAGCGTCCCACATACCACAACTAGAAGGACCCACAACGAAGAATATACAACTATGTACCGGGGGGGCTTTGGGGAGAAAAAGGAAAAAATAAAATCTTTAAAAAAAAAAATTATAAAGACACAGAGTGGTTGGATGGATTAAAAAACAAGACCCCTTGGGGCCAGCCAGGTGGCGCAGTGGTTAAGTGCACACATTCGACTTCTCAGTGGCCTGGGGTTCGCTGGTTCGCATCCCAGATGTGGACATGGCACCGCTTGGCTAAAGCCATGCTGTGGTGGGCGTCCCACGTATAAAGTAGACGAAGATGGGCATGGATGTTAGCTCAGGGCCAGTCTTCCTCAGCAAAAAGAGGAGGATTGGCAGCAGTTAGCTTCCAGCCACCAAAGCAGAACGTGCGAACTTAACCGCCATGCCACTGGGCCAGCCCCATTTTATTTTAGTTTTTTGCTGAGGAAAATTTGCCCTGAGCTAACATCTGCAGACAATCTTCGTCTTTTTGTGTGTGAGCCACTGCCACAGGATGGCGACTGACAGCGAATGGTGTAGGCCCATGCCCAGGAACCAGACCCGGGCTGCCAAAGCAGAGCCCTCCGAACTTAGACACCAGGCTACCAGGACTGGCCCGTCAGTCTCTTATTTTAAAATTTCAACATATTCAAATTTGTGACCTCTGACCGCTAAAGAACATCTGTCACAATAGAAATTAAGTTTTCCATATCTACCTGAAATTCTTCTTTAACAGATTCAAAAATATGTGCACCATGAGTTTGATTTTTTTAGGCAGCAAATTGACACTTCCTCATAAATTTAAAAGTCCTTTGAAACAAAACCTACTCAGATTATGCCTTGTTGGTCTTGTATCATACAACTCACCTAAAGCTAAAGAAAAGAGCCTGCATTGTTTCAAATTTAATCAACTGATCTTTGACATTATTACAAAGATCTTGGACTCTATAGACAATGGTTTGGCAGCTTAATTGAAGATCTTTAAGATTTAGTTTTTAGTCTTTTCCTCATCATTAAAAATTTTTTTCCCACAACTTAAATAAACATCTTATGCAATGTAATGGCTGAAATGAAATATAATCTTACAAAAATAACTAAGTTGTGTTTGAAGGGAGAATGTTTTACACTACTTCAGCTTTTTTATTTTAAATTTAAATTATTTAAAATTAAGTAAAATAAAAAAATTCAGTTCTTCATCTGCATTAATCACATTTCAATGCTCCATGGCAACATGTCAGAGGTGGTTACCATGTTGGGCAGTACAGCTGTGGGGCATTCATTCTTACGCCTTTCCCTTTCCTTACTGCTTTAGCTGCATCATTTCAATGTTGATATGTTGCACTTTTATTATTATCCAAAGTCTTTTTAATTTCCCATGTGGTTTCTCTTTTGATCCATGGTTGTCTATTTCTCTCTCAAATTTTGTCAATTTTTGCTGCTTCTACTTTGGAGCTTTATTATTAGGAACATACACATCTATGATTGTTATGTCTTTTGATGAATTATACCTTTTATTATTATAAAACACTTTTTTTTTTTTAGGAAGATCAGCCCTGAGCTAACATCTGCTGCCAATCCTCCTCTTTTTGCTGAGGAAGACTGGCCCTGAGCTAACATCCATGCCCATCTTCCTCTACTTTATATGTGGGATGCCTGCCACCTGCCGCAGCATGGCTTGATGAGCGGTGCCATGCCTGCAACTTGGATCTGAACTGGCAGACCCCCAGGCCACCAAAGTGGAACATGGGAACTTAACTGCTGCGTCACTGGGCTGGCCCCAAAACACCACTTTTTCTTTTTTTTTTTGAGGAAGATTAGCCCTGAGCTAACTACTGCTAATCCTCCTCTTTTTGCTGAGGAAGACTGGCCCTGAGCTAACATTTGTGCCCATCTTCCTCTAGTTTATGTGTGGGATGCCTACCACAGCATGGCCTGCCAAGTGGTGCCATGTCCGCACCCAGGATCTGAACCAGCAAACCTGGGCCCTCGAAGCGGAACATGCGAACTTAACGGCTGCGCCACTGGCCAGCCCCTCTAGCCTTCTTATAGTCACTGTCTGCAAGGTATATATTTTTTCTTACTTATACCTTCAACTTATCTATATCTTTAGATTTAAAATGTCTTGCAAACAGCACGTAATTGGGTCATGCTTCCTTATCCACTCTGACAATCTTGCATTTTCATTTGAATGTTTAATCCACTACTAATGTTTAATGTAATTATTGGTATGGTTAGGTCTACTTTTTGCTCTTTATTTTCTGTTTGTCCCGTCTATTTCTTATTCATTCGTTCTTCCTTTCCTGCCTTCTTCTGAATCAATCAAATACTTTTTAAAATTCCATTTTAATTTCCTTGTTAGCTTTTCAGCTATACCTCCTCATGTTATATGTGTAGTGGTTGCTTTAAGGATTACAATATACATCCTTGACTTTTCACAGTCTATTTAGACTTAATTTTGTATCACTTCGTGTAAAATAAAAGAAGCTTGAAAGTGTACAGTTCCCTTTCCTGCCTCCTCCACCTTCATGCTGACATTGTCATATAGATTATCTCTACAGATGCTATAAACCATAAAACATATAGCACATGTTTAATAGACAGGATTTTCTATTATATGCTTACCACTTCTATTACACTTATTGCTTCCTAAATATCAGATCAGAGTTTCTGTCTATCATTTCCCTTTACTCCAAAGTACTTTCTTTAGCATTTCTTATACTGCAGTTCTGTTGGAAACCAATAATTATCTTTGTTTATCTGTAAATGTTTTTATTTTGCCTTAAAAAAAAATTCCCTTTTTTACATCTACGGACAGCTCATCTTTGACAAAGGTGCCAAGAACATACAGTGGAGAAAAGACAGTCTCTTTGATAAATGGTGTTGGGAAAACTGGACAGCCACATGCAAAAGAATGAAAGTAGACCATTATCTCACACCATACACAAAAATAAACTCCAAATGGATCAAAGACTTGAAGGTAAGTCCTGAAACCATAAAACTCCTGGAAGATAACATAGGTAGTACACTCTTTGACACTGAGCTTAAAAGGATGTTTTCGGATACCATGTCTTCTCAGACAAGGGAAACAAAAGAAAAAATAAACAAGTGGGACTTCATCAGACTAAAGAGCTTCTGCAAGACAAAAGAAACTAAGACCAAAACACAAGGACAACCCACCAATTGGGAGAAAATTTTTGAAAATCAGATATCCGGTAAGGGGTTAATCTTCATAATATATAAGGAACTCACACAACTGAAGAACAAAAGACCAAACAGCCCAATCAAAAAATGGGCAGAGGATATGAACAGACATTTTTCCAAAGAAGATATACAGATGGCCAATAAACACATGAAAAGATGTTCAACATCACTAATCATGAGGAAAATGCAAATCAAAACTACATTAAGATACCACCTTACACCTGTTAAAATGGCTGTAATCAGTAAGACTAAAAATAACAAATGTTGGAGAGGGTGTGGAGAAAAGGGAACCCTCATACACTGCAGGTGGGAATGCACACTGATGCAGCCACTATGGAAAACAGTATGGAGATTCCACAAAAACTAAAAATAGAACTACCTTATGACCCAGCTATCCCACCACTGGGTGTCTACCCAAACAACTTGAAATCAACAATCCAAAGTAACATATGTGCCCCTATGTTCATTGCAGCACTATTCGCAATAGCCAAAATGTGGAAGCTATCCAAGTGCCCATCAACTGATGTTGGATAAAGAAGATGTGGTGTATATATACAATTGTATACAATATATACAAAACTCAGCCATAAAAAAAGACAAATTCATCCCATTTGTAACATCATGGAAAGACCTGGAGGGAATTATACTTAGCAAAATAAACCAGACTGAGAAAGACAAACATCAGATGATTTCACTCATACGTGGAATATAAACAAACACCCAGACAAAGAAAACAGTTCAGTGGCTACCAGGGGAAGGGGGGGTGGAGGGTGGGCACAAGGGGTGAAGAGGAGCACCTTTGTGGTGACAGACAAGAAATAATGTACAACTGAAATTTCACAATGATGTAAACTATTATGAACTCAAATAAAAGTTTTTAATTCCCTTTTTTGCATTTTTTATTATGGTAAAATATAAACAAGTCTACTATTTTAACCATTTCCTAAGTGTACAATTCAGTGATATTTTGCCTTTGTTCTTTTTTTTTGAAGTTTTATTTGCTTGAGATTATATATATAGTGTGTGTTTATTCTTGAAAGATATCTTCTCTAGAATTATGCCTTGATGGGTTTTTTTTTTTCTTTTAATGCTTTAAAGATGTCTTTCCACTGCCGTCTGGCCTCCATTGTTTCTGATGAAGAACAATATTTCCCTGTTTGTAATAGATCATTTTCCTCTGGCTGCTTTGGCGATCTTACCATTACCTTCGGTTTTCAGCAGATTGCCAACAGTGTCCCTGGGTGTGGTTTTCTTTGTGTCTATCCTACTTGAAGTTTGCTGAGCTCCTTGAGTCTCTCCGTGTCTTTCACCAAACTTAGAAACATTCAATCAAGATATCTCCAAATGTTTTTTTTCCGCTCCAATCTCTCTCTCTTCTCTTCCTAGAGCTCCAATTACATGTAAATTAGAGCTTTTGATATTGTCCCACAGGTCACTGAGGTTTTCTTTTCACTTTGTCAACATCATTTTTTTTTTCCTGTTTTCAGATTGGATCATTTCCATCGAACCATCTTCAAGTTTGCTGACGCTTCGTCACCTCAAATTTACTGTTGAGCTGAAATTTTTTTTTCACATATTTTATTTTTTGGTTCTAGAATTTCCATTTGGTTCTTCTTTACAGTCTCTATTTCTCTGTTGAGATTTCATATCTGTTTATTCATTAGGATTGTATTTTCCTTTACTTATTGAGCATAGTTACATTAGTTACTTTAAAATTCCTGCCTGCTAATTCCAATATCTGGGACATCTTAGAATCAGCCTTCATTGATTGATGTTTTTTCTTGAGTATGATTCATACTTTCTTAATTTTTGTATATCTACTAATTTAGGGTTATATCCTGATATTGTGAATGATACATTGTCAAACCTCTGGATTCTGTTATGTTCCTCCAGAGAGCAGGCCGATAATTTGTAGAATTCAGAACTCCCCGTCTGTGGCCGTCTCCTCCCAGACTTCCCTCTCTCACTTTCCAGCTGCTATGGTCACCCTAAGCTCTGTCCTCTATTTTTCAATCAGTAAGACTTGCAGATTTCCATCAGAGTTTTAGTGGTCCCCTGAGGCACTGACCAGGGCCTGCCCTCAGGTGAAAAGCTAAAAAATGAGAAACTCACCCATGCAATTCCTTGCTTCCTAGTGCCAACTCCTCTCTAGTTTCTTAAAAAAGGAATGTTCTAAAAAAATTAAAAATAAATAAAGAGAGAAGAGTATTTAATGTAAGAGTACAGAGGTATCCTGGGGGAACCCAAAGACGAAGTGCCTTAGCCAGGCCTCAGAAACCAACCAAAATCAGGTACTCCATTTCACTGGGACTTCATCTCCATCTCTTGTGTCTCTTCTCTGCCCCTCTGAAGGGCTCCTAGGAACCCCAATTTCCCTCATCAGTCAGTTTTGTTACTGCCTGTTTACTTTTCCTTATTCCCCTCTAGACCATAAATTCCTTGAGCGCAAACCTATGCTTTTATCTATTTTCTCATCCTCATGACTAAGCAGAGTACAGTCAACAGAGCTCACAGGTGGTTAAAAAAAAAAAAAAAGGCAGACAAGTAAACCGACCTTTAATACACAACATAGCAGGTGTTGAAACAGACATTTTCAAGGTGCTCCAGGAGCCAGAGGAAGAAGTACTCACATCTCCACCTGGGCTGTCAGGAAGGCTCAGGAAAGATGCTCCAATGATGTTGCTTGTCCTCTGATTCAGGGATCCAAAAGGACAATCCCATAAAAACCAGAGACTCTCTCAAAGATCCTCCTAACGCTCTGGGTCTCCACCGAAAGGAAGAGAGAACTTCACCCAATGTCTTTCTGAACCATCACTTGAAGGGACAAAGAGAATCATGGAGAAGAGAACTTGGCGATCTGTTTCGCTAACATTTCAGCCATTCAAGATTTCTTTCAGTTCCTCTTTCCCATCTTGGTGTCTTTGAACATTTTTTCCCCTCAGCCTAGACTGTTTTCCTCGCCCTCTTCTCTTTGGCTAACCTTTAAACAGCTTTTAGGTCTCAACTTTAACGTCACTTTCTGGAGAGGAAGGAGGCTCCCCTCTCCCCTAGTCAGGGTAAACCCTATGGCCACACGCTCCCACAGCAGCCTGTACTTCCCCTTTCTGAACACTCACCTCATTGTCCTGCCCCGTGTAAGGGCTGCCTTCCAACAGTCTGTAATCTGTGACAGCAGGGAACACGTCATCTGGTTCCTGCCTATTCCCAGGGCTTGGCACAGAGCCTGGCACCTGGAAGATGCTTAAAAATACTTCTTGCTTCCATTGAATTTCAATAGTTAGTATAACTTCCTCATATGAATGAAAAGAACCAAGGCAAAGAGGTGGGGAAGTGAATTTTCCAACAGTCTCAAGTTAGTGGCAAGGCCAGACCCAGCATGCGGGCTGGACAGCTCTGTGCCCTGGGGCCCAGCAGAGTTGTCTCCTTGGCTTGCTTCTTTCCTTCCAGAGCGTGGTGAGAATCAATGCAGACACTGTGTTTTTTTTTTTTTTTTTTTTTTTTTTTTATCTAGGCTTTTATTTCTTCTAAAATGTACACAAAGATGAAAATCTCCTAGGAACATTTTTGACGCATGTGAAAAAACACTGCTTTTGAGGAGTGGAAAGTGGATGTTTTAAAAAGATTTTCTCCCACCTTTTTAATTTGGACACTTTCAAATCTATGGAAAACTTGCCTGAATAGGACAATACTCATTTACACTTTATCTTGATTTATCAGCTGCTAACATTTTGCATTGCACAGTGGTCTTTTTTTTTTCTCTTCCTCTCCCTGTATACATATACATATATATATATATACTTTCTGTCTTCCATATTTATACAGACGCTCTCTATATGTACATATGTGTACACTCTATACATATACATGTACACATACATTTATTTGCTGAACCATTTAAGAGTCAGTTGTCACTGCAGACTGAAAATTACTACATTTTACCCCTGAACGCTTCGGCACGTGTCCCCTAAGAACCAGAGCGTTCTCCCACACAACTACAGCATAATTATCACAATCATACAATGTTATTAGTTCATGTACACTCATATTCAAATTTCCCCCGTTATCTCATATGTCCTTTATAGCTGTTTTTTTAAAATCCAGGATCCAATTGAGAATCATGAATTGCATGTTGCTGTCTCTTTGGCCACCTTTAATCCAGAACAGTTTCCATGCTACTTTATCTTTCACGTTATTGACATTTTTGAAGAGTCCAGGCTGGTTGTTTTAAAGAATGTCCCCAAGGTGGGTTTGTCTGATTATGTCCTCATGGTTAGATTCAGATTAAACTTTTCTTTTCTTTTTGAGCAAGCATGCCACTTGCATGATGCTGTGGGTGCCTTTCCATCACAGCGCCTTCATTTCAGATGTCCTGGGCCTTGAGGACATGTACCAGATCCCCAGACCCTCAGGGCTGGGCAGTAGAGAGGCCCAGGGAGCCGGTTGGTAAAGGCCACAGCTTTGGTCTTGGCAGAGTTCACTGCCAGCGATGGCTGCTGACTGCGGGGCACTCCTGCTGGGCAACCGAGGCCAAGGCGAGAACTTCTCCTTCCTGCCAGGAGCTCCAGGTGGCCGGTGGCCAGCCAGCTCCTCGGCCAGTGGGTCACCTGCTGCTGCAGCCACTCTCTGTTGATGCAGCTGCAAGGGCAACAAGAAGAGGGCTGAGGGGGTGGCTGTGCCAATGCCAATTCAGAGAGAAGGGACAGCAAGGGGACAGAAGCACAATGACAGAGGGAACAAGAATAAAGAATAGACGGAAAGGGTGAGAGACAGAGGGGACACACACACCAGAGAAGGAGAGAAAAGTAGCATGAGAGACACAGAAGCAGAGAGAAACAGAGACCACAGGCCCCCAGGGAGGAGAAAGCACCAGCTGAAGCGCTTCACTAACAACTTCCGGGACCATTTCGGAGGCACTCTGATTTTGAGATTTTGGAAAGTGAAGAGAGTTTGCGTCTATACTGGTCAGACTCAAAGAGCATGAGTGTTTCTCCCCAGGGGTCACGTGGGGCCACCTGCTCAGTCTGCTCTTTTCCCAACACAGAACTTCTCCTTGGCATCTCGGAAGCCAGGCCCCAGGCCAGCAGCTTCCTGCTCTAGCTCAGAATGTCTCCCTTTTTCTCACAGGGCTGTTGGCAGATAGGGAAGCCGCCTTGTGACATATCTGGGGTGGAGAGGAGGAGCAGGAGAGAGGCAGACAGAAGAGAGGACCAGAGCAAAGAAGAGCACTAAAAATAGCCTTCCTTCTAGGACGGGGGAGGGATGCAAAATCCCGGGAGCTGGCCAGCGGGGTGACCTTAGCTAATAATAACAGGCCACAGTTTTCTCACGAGAAAAGGGACTCAGGGGAGGAGAATGGAGGGAGAGAGAGAGAGCGCTCTGCCTCTGGACTGAGCAGGTAGAGAAGGGGATCTAACGGACGGTTCTGCTAGGGTGAAACTCCTCCAGAGCCCAATGGGGAAGGGCTCCCGATAGAGGAACTTAGTGTGGACAGAGAGGGCTTTCTGGCAACAAAGTGCACTGTCTGTACTTTTCTTTGGCGGGAAGAGAAGAAAATGGAAAGTGTGCAATCAGGAGCCTGACGACGTTGGCTTCAGGGCTCACAGCTGAACCCAAGTGAAGAAGCCCTCTCTGCCCTCCGCCCTCGGCCAAAAGAACCAACCCCAGGCCCTGCATCTTACTGAGGATGTTGAGGGGTGTGAAGGGGCGGGAGAGGACATCCCGGAAACTCTCCAGCCATTCCCGCTGCTCCTTCTCGCTGGGGCAGGTGAAGATGAATCTCCGCTCCGGGGTGACGATGGTGAGGCCAGCTTTCCAGCGATTCCCTCGGATGCCCTTGGGCAGGTCTTCATAAACCTGGTACCCCTGCTCGTTCCTCCCGAGAAAAACCTGGCCTTGCTCAAAGGCGTCCTGAAAATAGAGGACACATGATCATCAGAGGGGCACCTGCAGCCCTGACAGCCACCAGGCTCTATTTTAGAAAGAGGTGTGGGGGTCCCTGCTGGGATTTCTGCTAGGTGGGACCCAGAATTGGAAAGGCTAAAACCATAAAAGAAATCACACACATCATCTGTTAAAATGATACTTAACATTTGTGGAAAGTTAACTATGTACCAGGAATTCAAGTGCTTTCCATGTAGTAACTCGTATAATCTTCATGGCAACCTCTGAGGAAGGCACTGTTATTACAACTATTTTCCAGAGGAGGAAACTGAGGCACAGAGAGCTACGTACGCTGCCCGGGGCACACCACTAAAAGCGGCAGGGCTGAAACTGGAGCCTAGACAGCTGAGGTCTAGAGCCCACTCTCCTAGTCACCACACTTCACAGGCTCCTGGTTAGAAGTGAGCCCTGGAGCCTGGAGGATGAGAAACAACCTGCTGAACTGCTAAAATAGGAGCATTTTGGATTTGCATGAAGGACTTCCCAAAGGGGAGGAGGGGGATGACTTCATGCACAGGAGATGACTTAGAGACAAGGAAAGGTAGAGGGGTGCCCCTCACCAGGTTTCTCCAGCCCTGTGGCTTCCCCATTGTCCCTGACCAGCACAGACCCCGCCTCTGTCTGGGAGTGCGCTGGGGAGGGGCCAGCAGTGGCTCTTACCAGTGGGTTCTTGTAATAGAGCAGCCTCCGTTCCTGGGGATCCAGGGCGAACCACCTTTTCTTGAAAGGTTCTCTCTGCTGCAAAAGAGGGAACCTCGTACCAGGGTCAGCCAAGCTGGGGAGCACAGAGGTCAGAGGGCCAGCCTCGGCTAGGCCAAGAGAGCTGGCTAGTCCCGGCCCCCCATCAGACACCCCAGTGCTCCTCTCTGAGGCCCTGGAGCTCTGAAGGCCCTGCCCACTTCCTCACCCCCTGCCAGCTTCATGCACCCTGCTGCCTCCAGGTGCTGCTGTGCATTGGAAGAGGCACTTTGCTCCTTCTCAGACTGTGGGCAAGAAGTCTCAGAAAAAGGAAGCTAGGGAAATCGGAAGTGGCTACTGCTCAGTAATGCCAAAAGTGCTGGCCTTAGCCCGAATTCTGACCTAGGTCAGGGGAAGGAAAGCCCCTGAGCAAGGACCTCGGGGAGGGGCTGTGCCACTAGCTGGTGAAGGAAGAAAAGCAAATGTGCAACCTTTCAACTAGTTTTCCAGCTGCCTCAGGTTTTCTTTCATACAATTGCCTAACACCTTTCACTGTAGTTTTTTTTTTTTTTTTTTGAGGAAGATTAGCCCTGAGCTAACTACTGCCAGTCCTCCTCATTTTTGCTGAGGAAGCCTGACCCTGAGCTAACATCTGTCCCCATCTTCCTCTACTTTATACGTGGGACGCCCACCACAGCATGGTGTGCCAAGCAGTGCCATGTCCGCACCCAGGATTCGAACCAGCGAAACCCGGGCCACCAAGAAGTGGAATGTGCGAACTTAACCGCTGCGCCACCGGGCCAGCCCCGTCACTGTAGTTTTAACAAGCATCCTGCAACCTATTGCACCTTAAAGAAAAGAAGGCATGGCAACGCTGCTGCCTTGGGAGTTTTGTAGGGAGCTCTCTCTGCTTTTCCTTTCCTTTTCCCTTCTCCTCCCTCCCCCTCTTCCTCCCCTGACAGCCAGACTTCTGGCTTGGATGGCATCCAGGCTGGGTCTGAGATGTCCTGGGCCAGCAGGAGCTTCCCCCTAGCCCTCTGGACCCTCCATGGGAGGCCCAGAAGCAGCCAGACCTCCCTTCCTTCATTGACAAGTGGGAATGAGCAGGCCGCTGTTGGGGCAGGCTTAGCAAGGGAAGGCAGAGGCTGAGTTTGAGGGAGGCGTGTCTGCTGGGGAGGGGGTGCTCATGTGGGGCTCACTGGCACCCAAGCATGGGTGTATAGGTGTGTTTTCTCAGACCAATTGCTAGCCCCTGTCGCACTTGCATGGCCCTGGTAAGCCCCCAGCACAGAGCACACAAGGGTTCTGGAAAATGCAAAAGCTGGGTCCTTTTCATTTTCAGCAATGCTTTCCCAGGAGTAGGGTCAGTTAGATGGAGCTAAAAGGAAAGAAGCTGATGGGATGCCAATAAAGGGGGAGGATGCCCAATGAGAGGCAGAAGTACCTGCAATGCTGGATCCCACACCCCCTAACCAGTCTCTACGTGGTCCTTCCCCCCAGGAACTCACAAACTTTGGTTTACTTCCTTTCCCTCCCTCTTCCCACTCCCTAGTTCCCCATTTTCCCACCTCCAAAATTCTGCCCTACTGCCCACTGGGACAGGGGTCACGAAAGGCCCCCAGGGAGTGGTAGGATGTACCTTTGGGCCAGTCTTTTCCATGAAGCCTTGTTTGAGGTAGTTCCTGGTGATGAGGGGCACGAGCTGGGGGAAGAGAGATGTACATTGAGCCCCTGACTCACACCCCAGGGGCTCAAGGTTCCCCACTGAACTGGGCTCCCCGACAAAGAGGAAGTTTGGAATGAGGAAGGATGTTTGCTGATGGTTCACAGGGTTATATTTGGAACATGGTATGGATGCAATATTCATATTTCCACAGAGCCAGACAACAGCACCCCAGATGTCTGCAGAGCCTACCAGCACAGCTGATCTGGGTTTAAGGACTGAGTTTAAGGACTACAGTAACCCCAGGAGGTGAACATAGGCAAGACTCTGAGGAGCCCCTCCTGCTGTCAGGCGGCATATTTTGAGGTCTCCCATGGATCAGGCTCTGGGTGCCATTGTCAACCACCCTGTGAGCCAGTGGATGTTATCCTCCTCATTGTGCATATGAAGAAACCAGGCCTCAGAGAAGTGGTTGGGGATGTTCGCACAGCCACATTTCCAGTAGGATGAAGAGCTGGGATTCGCATCTAGTGCTGACGGACAGTGGTGGTCCTCCTGCCACTACTCTGTGCTGCTGAAGTAGAAACATGATCAGGCCCCTGGCCAAGACCTTGTCATCGGTGGGGATTCTGACACAGGGTCCCACGAGGTGATGGCAGAGTGGGCAGGGAGAGAAAGCGCTGGATTAGGATTCAGGAGACTGGGTTCTAGCTCCAGTTCTGACCTCAACCAGCCGTGTGACCGTGGTAAAACCTTATTCCTCTTGGGCCTGTTTCCCTCTGTGTAACAAGGACACTGGAATACGTGGTCTCCAGGATCCCTTCCAGCTTGCCATCCTATGCTCAGAGAAGCTTCCAGAGATTGATGCTGGCCTCCTATGCTCCAGGGGGTCAAACTGGCAAGTCTCAAGCTTCAAATGACAGGCCAGGCTTCAGAGAGCAGAGGAGGTTCTCCAGAGCCTCAGGTCCCAGGGCAGAGGCAAAGGGGAAGTAAGGTCTGGGGAGCAGGAATGGGAAGTCTGAAAGGGGGAAAATTGTGAGCCAAAAACAAAAACATAAACTACACCACTCCCCTTTCCCTGAAATACATTCTGTAGGCTTTAATTCCTTCATGCAGAGAAAAGACAGAGTCCCTAACAGCTCCATCATCTGAACTTGAGCCAGGGCAGGGCTCGTCTAGGCCTAGGGAAACAAATGGAGGGAGAAGGACAATCACGTGGATGGAGTTCTATTTACTGTACCTTAGATGCCTTGGCTCACTTAAGTCTCTCAATAGCCCTGGAAGGGAGGTATTTTCCCCATGGTGACAGGTGAGTAAACTGAGGCTCAGAGAGGTAAGGTGACTTGCCCTAGGTAACACATCAGCTTCTCTGATTTCAGAGTCCATGCATTTCTTATTACAGGACCACAAGCCCACCAGGACTCCCTGGGTTTCTGGCATCTGGATCCCAAACTTGAGCCAGGCCTGGGTGATTGCCCAGAACCTCACACCATCCACAGACATGGGGGAGGGAAGACAGGGAGAGGAGCGGGCAGGGAGGAGACCAGGGGTGGCTGAGGGATAACGATGGTGGATGAGAGAGGCAAGAGGACATTGAGGACGTTGGCCAAAGACCAGTTTCCTCCACAGGGGTCAGCAAAGTTGGAGAGCTAGCCCAATAAATAAGGCCCAGTGTCTGCACTTTGTCCTCCTGTCCTCTCCAGTCAGCACTCCCAAGGCCCACCCATGGGAGAGTCCAGTCATCAGTTCTGGGTGCTGACTCTGCAGACCAGGAGGGCCCTGACCCAGGCCTGGCTGGAACTGCTCCCAGAGAACTGCCATCTCAGTGATCCCTGGGCTTGGAGTGGACCCCCATTCCAGATACTTTGCTCCCTGCAGACCTTGGAATTAGGGAACATTTAGGCTTTCAAGGGGGGTCTACCATCTGGAATAACAAAGTCCCAGGATTAACACGGTCCCTTCACCTCGATCACTTACAAAATCTTCTTAAGGCAAGGTTTAAAACAGGAACCGGAGCATAGCACCTCTGAGATGGAAGGGACCCTGAAGATGACCCAGACCAACCGTCATCTTAACAGATGTGGAAACAGATGCTCAGAGAAATGACGTGACCTGCAGTGGTCACACAGCAAGTTAGTGACAGAGCATCCACAAGAGCCTAGGCCTCCTGGCTCAAGACAGCATCCTCTGGCCCACCCCAGCCAAGCCTGAAAGATGTAGATGGATGCCCCAGATGTCTGAGGACAATCAAAATGAAGTTCTCGGGCCCACCAGTACCTTGGCCACAAAGGCAGACGGTTCCGTTAGAACTATAATGGGGAAGATCCTACTGCCTTCTAAGACCAGAACACGAAAGGGCAAAAGGGGGGATGTTAGAGTGGGAAGAGCCCCTTTGGTTGTTCACTTTGGTTATCCCTGGGGCTCAGTTCCTCACCAGTAAAATGGGGAGAATACCCCCACCTAACCACCTGCTACAAGAGGGCACTAGATACAAGGAATGAAAAGATAACATGGGCTCAAGAGCACTCTGTCAGCAATATGTCAGGGACCGTCCATACATTTTAGTGGGAGAAGAGGTCAGAAAGAGATGCCCAAATTCTGAGCCCTTTGACACTGTGGATGGTGGCTGTGCATTCTGAAGGGGAGAGACTGACCTGCTTTCTGGAGGCCGCCTTGCCCTGTGTGAGGCCAAAATCCCCCAGCCTCCGGGAGAAAGCTTTTGGTTCCCTCTGAAATACCCAACTCCAAGTCTCAAGGTCTTGCCTGCAAACAAACCGAATCTGGCCTCTGAGTGTCTTCGAGGTCAGCAGATAAGGAGAAGAGGAGGTGGCAGAGAGAAGACTTGGAAGTTGGGGTCCACGTTTGGCTCACCTCAGACTCTGGGAGTTCAGGAAAGGCCGTTTTTAGGTATTGCAGACGGGCTGCACGGAGGGCATTGAACCAGTCCACTATCTCCTGCAGAGAAAACGCAAAGGACAAATGGACAGCCAATGAGACGGCATCGGGGGAGCTGCGTCTGGTGGCAGGAAGCTAGATGGATCTTCAGGTTTGGGCACGTGCATTCAGCGCATGCACACACCCCCAGTTGCACTCAGGGGCCTGTGGGCTGATCACAGGCATCTGGGAGGACAATGCCAGAACCCAGGGGGGCTCACCTGATCAAGTGGGAAGCCAATGACAGGAGCTCCCCAGAGCCATGAGAAAGGACCAGAGCGAACCTCACGGGCGTTATGCAGTGGCCTAGAACAGTGCTTCCACTTTCTAATGTGTGTACGAATCACCTCAGGATCTCGTCAAAATGCAGATTTGCGTTCAGTGGGCTTGGGGTGGGGCCTGAGGTTCTGAATTCCTAACAAGCCTTCAGTGATGTGATGCTGGTCAGTGCGACACACTTTGAGGGGCAAAGGTCCTGAGTCGTCAAAGACCCGCTTTCAGGTGGGGCAGGCACAGCTGGGGATGCTCCTCAGTGGGGATGCTCACCACCTGGAGTGCAACTTAGGCTACAGCTGGCTTGGACGTTCTGCTGTCACCCTGGGAGAGTACATCTCTCGGCAGTGTGGGCCATCATCTCTCACCCGGTGAACCGCTCATCTGGCTGGCTCTGCCTCTGCTCCGCTGCTCTCCAGTGGGTCCTCCCTCTGACAGCCAGCATGATTTTCTAATTGCAAAACTAACTGAGTCTACCTTAGAGTCCTCTCCACTTCCCTCAGGAAGAAAGTCTAAGTTCTTTAGGATAACTTACTTTGCCCTCTGAGCTCCTTCCATACCAAACCATTTGCAACTCCCCCAGTACATGCTGTTCTCTCTTCCTGGAACACTCTGCCTCACCCACCTCTCTCCCCTCACCCCCCCACACCTTTTACCTTAGAACATTCTACTCATCCTGAAGGACTGCTTAGATGTTGTAATAGATTTTGCTCAGCCCAAACCCTGCTTCGAGGAGAACTTCCCCACCCATTCTCACCCACCCACAATCGCAGCCACATTTGCTGCTATGAACCCACCCCTTCTTGGCCACAGCAGCTGGGCCAGGGCTGGACTAATGCAGAGGCTGGACCGAGATTGTCAGATTCTTCGTCTTAGGAATGTGGAATTGAGAGGCTGAAAGACGTGTTCAAATAGCTGCGGTACTGGACTGTGATGTAAGACGGTGATTGAGAAATTCATTCGAATATGGTTTCAGAAGAATGAAGTCATTACCCTTTCTCTTCACAGGTCAAGCATGCAGGCCTAGCATTGTGGAGTTCTGAGCTCTCCTGTCCTGGGAGTTAAGAACCTTCTTGGGTCTTAGGCACTAAGGGAATGGGGTCATCCCAGGAAAGATTCACCTAGCCCTTCACTTTGGAAGGTCTCTCCAGTCACAAACTGGTGACCCTGGGGCCAGTTCCAACTTGCATACGTGTTTGTCTGGCTCCTGAAGGTCTGTTTGTTTCGATCCTCTATACAGGTCTTCCTGTTTGCCACAGCCGTATAGCTATCCACTTCACTTTTAAATTACCTACCTGTCTCCTGCAGGCATGAGTTTGCGGCCCCCTAGTTATGTCCATCTAATGGAGAAGCTGGCCAGACCCAGGCTGTCAAATGCTCCACCACTGGGCAAGTGGGAGGGGGCCAGGTCAGAGACCTTGGGAACCTCAGCAAAAGTCCTCGTGGCAGCGATCAGCATGGAAGGGTGGCCACCAGCATCCAGCCAATCTGGACTCAGGGCAACAGCAGAGAGCCCACTATGGACTAAGGATCAGGGTTCTCCTCCATGTCTGCCAGCCTGCACAAGTCCCAAGTTTCTGGTAAAGCCAAGGAAGGGAGCTGAGAAAGGTGATCGATACTAGATTTCTTGCCAATTTGGGAAATGGGGTCCTTGAATTTAGAACAACAAAGAAGTATGATATAACTTGCACCCTTGGTGTTACACAACGTGTTCCTGTCAGAAAGAAGAGTGTACACTCTCTCACACACATACACACCACAGTTCCTGCTTCTAATCTCTCAGGAGGCCCCGCCATACTTCTTGACATTGAAACACTTACCCCTGTATCCTTCCCATTCACGGCCCCTTTAAGCCAGTCTGAGTGTTGTCCTTTTCAGCAGACTCACACAATTCTTCAATAGAAACTCCTCTGGAAAGCCTTTTTACCATCTCCCGCCCTCCAAGACTAGGCCACTTACATGTCTCCTGTGTGTCCCCAGCACGCCCTCCACTCCATCACATGGCATCATCAGCGCCTATTTCCCCACCTGTCTCCCTCTCTAGACTGTGAGATCCTTGAGGCCCTCATGGCTCTGCCCCCTTCACTACCACACTCCCTAACACCTAGACAGTGCTTTGCACATTGCAGGAGCTCAGTAAGATTCATTGAATGAGTGAATTCACGAATGAATAAATGATACAGATGTGAATTTGCTCGAGATTTTGTCTTTTATATCTGCTGCAATCATGAGCAAATAACAACAGTAGTGACTGATGTTGGCAATGCACTTCGCCAAAATGAAGAGCTTTCATGTTCATGGTTCGTGGTCACTCGACCCTCAAACCCCGACTGGGAGGTGGGTGTTATGATCCATAAGCAAGCAGACTTAGGAGGGGAAGGGACCTGCCCCAATAACACGGCAGAAGCAGGGCCCCAGCTTCTGACTCTAAACCCCTGCTCTTCAGACCACAACACCAGGAATTCTGCCCAGACTATGGGGTAAGCATCAAGCCCGCTGGGAGGTGATCCATGGTCAGGATCCAGAGCTAGTGCGCCTTGGGAAGATCTGGTCCCTGTAGCTGGTTCCTGGCTCCTGCTGCCGTGGGTTCTTGCTCCAGCAGAGGCACAGGGGGTGGTAAAATGAGAGCAGGGCTCAGGAACCATCGGCTGTGTGCCTCTGAGCAAGTTGCTTAACATGTCCATACCTCAGTAACATGGAGAGAAAACATTTCCAGAGTTCTGAGGATTAAGAAATGATATATAGTGATCACCAAGAACAGTGTCCGGCACAGAATTAACAGTCACTCACAAAATGTCAATTCCCATCTTTACCCCTCCCTACCTCCTTTTAGCATCTCTGTCCCTTGCCCAGTCATACGACCCTGTTCATTCTGACCCAGCTTACTCTGCTGGACCTGGACTATATTGACCCGCTCTTCGGAGCAGGATGGAGCTGATTTCCTGAGTCTTTCAGTAGTGCTTCTCAAACTTTAATGTGCAGAAGGATCACCTGGGGGTCCTATTAAAATGCAGTTTCTAACTCAGTGAGTCCAGGGTTGGACGTGAGACTCTAGTTCTAACAAGCTCCCAGGCGATGCTCATGCTCTTGGCGCGGGACCACACGTTGAGAGGCAAGGCCTTGGAGCGCGCTGCTGCCTGATCTTCTAGCCATTCCTCTTCCCACATTCAGAATCTCTGGCAGTACCTGGATTTGCCATCCCTGGGCGTAGACCCTTCTGCTAACTGTCCAGACGCACCCATGGGACCAGCCAGGTTCCTCTCCCTGGTCTCGCTCTGCCTTACTCTTACCTCTGTCTCAGACCAGAAAGTGACAATTAATTAAGGCAAACAGCAGCAGCAAATCTCAAAAGGCTGCTGCACTCGGGAGCCAGGTCTGCTGAGTCTGGGGGCGCTGAGCTGGTGTGACAAGGCCAGTCATCTTACCTTCCCACTCTCGTGATACACAAACAGGTTCCTGATGTGACCCTCTCTGCTGTAGGTGATCTGCAGCCCGTGGGGGTTCCCTATCTTCTCTGTCTGGAAGGTGGCATTCAAGTCCTTGATGCTGATGACAGCCTTGGGGCCTTTACCCTGAAAGAGAGGAAGCGGACACTCAAGATGCTGAGTCAGCAGGGTGACATCTCATCACTTTCGCCAATGAGCCTTAATGCCCTAACGCCAACAGACAACCAATCTGTAACTTGGGATAGGATTTTAACATCCTGTTCTACTGTCAAGATGCACAGACAGTCTCCCGTTCTCCTGTCTGCAGCCATCCCACCATTCCTACTTAATCCGATTGGCCTCTCTGAGCTGGAAGGGGCCTTGGAAAGACCTTAACTGAGGACTTTTCAAACATTTTAGTCATAGAACTTTTTCTGGAGCAAATCATCTACGGGAGCGAAACAAATAAAATAGATAAAACAAACAGATAAAAGCAGGTGTGGGGGTCTCGGAGCACCGCTCCCACACTCACCTCTCTGTTCTCAGAGTTCTGAAACACGGTTTGAGCACTAATTGATGCTAAGAAGGGAAGGAAAAAGAAGGGCTTCCCTTCAAAACCAAAAAGAAGGAAAAATGATAAAAACACTCTAGACTGGTGGTGGCCGTTCACCGTATGTGGCTATTAAAATTAAAGTTAAATAAAATTGAAACTTCAGTTCCTTAGTCACACTTAGCCCCACGTCAAGTGTTCAGCAGCCTGTGGCTGGTGGCTAGGATGTGGGACAGGTGCAGATGTAGAAGGTTCCCATCACTGAGGCAAGTTCTACTAGATAGTCTTCTCTAGAGAGAAATCTGGTTAAGTTTATTAAAACGTTGAGCGTTTTGCTTTGACCCACAATTGTGCATCTAAGACTCTATCCCAAGGAAGTAATTGCATTACTATGTAAATATGTACATCAAAAGATGTTTGTCACTGTGCTGCTTATAATAGTAACAAAAAGAAGAAGAAGAAATTATTTAAAGGTCTGTCAGGGACAAGGGGTTAAATAAATAAATCATGGTACAACAACACAATGAAATGCCACAGGAATTCTTTTTGCTAGGAAAGATTCACCCTGAGCTAACATCTGTTGCCAATCTTCCTCTCTCTTTTTTTTCCTCCCCTCCCCAAAGTCCCAGTATATAGTTGTATTTTCTAGTTGTAAGTCCTTCTAGTTCTTCTATGTGAGCCACCACCACAGCATGGCTACTGACAGATGAGTGGGGTGGATCCACGCCCAGGAACAGAACCCGGGCTGGTGAGTGGAGCACGCTGAACTTTAACCACTGGGCCATCAGGGCTGGCTCTAGAATTTTTTAAAGAATAATTTAGATCAATATTACTAATATGAAAAAATGTCCATGATATCTACGAATGAGAAATACCAAGTCCCAGAAAAGGATGTATAGTAGGAACCTACTAATACAAAAATTATACACACATACACACAAAAATGTGTGTACATTATATATATACACACATATGTGTATATATATATATATATTATATCTATGTTCGAACATGCATAAAAAGTATAGACAGATTTATACCAAGACCCTTAACAATGGTTTTCTCAAAAGATTATTGGAAGATTTTCGTTTTAAAATACTTACTATGAGAAATACTAAAAATATTAAAAAGTACATCTAACTTTGTTAATATTGTTCCGAACTTTTTTTTTTTTTTGAGGAAGATTAGCCCTGAGCTAACTATTGCCAGTCCTCCTCTTTTGTGCTGAGGAAGCCTGGCCCTGAGCTAACATCCATGCCCATCTTCCTCTACTTTATACGTGGAACACCTACCAGAGCATGGCGTGCCAAGTGGTACCATGTCCGCACCTGGGATCCAAACTAGCGAACCCTGGGCCACCAAGAAGCGCAATATGCGAACTTAACTGCTGCGCCACCAGGCCGGCCCCTGTTCCAAACTTTTTAAATAAAGAAATATGACATTACTAATAAAGCCAAAATCCCTTTAACTACTATTCAGCCTGTCCCCTTCTCCTCCTCCACTCCCCATAGGCAATCACTGTCATGAGTTTGATGTTTATCCTTCTAGTTAAGTCTTTATACTTTTACACACACATATACATATCTATGAACAGTATACGGTATTGTTATATGTGGCTTCAATTTACATAAATGGTGTCATATTATATGGATCATTCCATATCTTGCTTTTGTCACTTGACATTATATTTTTTAGTTCTATCCATGTTGAGATATACCCGTCTAGTTTGGTCTTATAAATGACTACACCAAAAGTTACCCATCTGTTTTCCTGCTGATAGACATTGAGACGGTTTCTGATTTTTGCTCTAGTCAGCTGGTATCCCTGGTACACATACGTGAGAATTTCTCTAGGTCACGGTCTATGCTTAGCAATGGAATTGCTAGATCATAAGTGTCTATCTCTTCAACTTACTGTAAACTGCCAAATTATTTTGCCGAATGGCTCTCCACGGTGGTTGCACTAATATTTATCTCCATCAATAACACAGAAGAGGGGCCAGCCCCGTGGCCAGGTGGTTAAGTTCACACACTCTGCTTCAGCAGACTGGGGTTCGCCAGTTCCGATCCTGGGCGCGGACCTAACACCACTCATCAAGCCATGCTTTGGCAGCACCCCACACAGAAGAACTAGAATGACCTATAACTAGGATATACAACTACGTACTGGGGCTTTGGGGAGGAAAAAAACAAAAAGAGGAAGATTGGCAACAGATGTTAGCTCAGGGCCAATCTTTCTCACCAAAAAGCATACTAAGAAACAACAAAAAAAAGGGAATTCACGGTCTTTGTAAATGAGTATTACATGATTGGCCATAGTTCAAAAAACAACACACACACACAGAAGAGTTCCGCTTTCCCCATACCCTCACCAACACTTGACCCTGCCAGTTTTTCACATTTTTGCTAATGTGATGAGTTTGAAATTGGATATTGTGTGTGTGTTTTTTTTCCGAGGAAGATTAGCCCTGAGCTAACTGCTGCCAGTCCTCCTCTTTTTGCTGAGGAAGACTGGCCCTGAGCTAACATCCGTGCCCATCACCCGGGATCCGAACTGGGGAACCCCAGGCTGTCATAGCCCAACGTGCGAACTTAACCGCTGCACCATGAGGCCAGCCCTGAAATTGGATATTGTTAATTTTCATTTAATCAACTTTATTGAGGCATAATTTATAAACAATAAATGGTACTCATTTTAAGAATACAGTATGGGGCCGGCCAGGTTGCACAGTGGTTAAGTGCACACGGTCCGCTTTGGCGGCCCGGGGTTCGCTGGTTCAGATCCTAGGTGCGGACATGGCACTGCTTGGCAAGCCATGCTGTGGTAGGCATCCCACATATAAAGTAGAGGAAGATGGGCATGGATGTTAGCTCAGAGCCAGCCTTCCTCAGCAAAAAGAGGAAGACTGGCAGCAGGTAGCTCAGGGCTAATCTTCCTCAAAAAAAAAAAAAAAAAGAATACAGTCATTTTTCACAAGCATATATACCCATGTACCACCACCACAATCAACATATAGAACATCACTATCACCCCAAAACAGTTCCCTCCGGCCCTTTTGCAGTCAATCCCCACCCCACCCCAACCCCGGACAATCACTTACCTGCTTTCTACTGGTATAGAGTAGTTGTGCCTGTTACAAAATTTCATATAAACGGAATTATATAGTACACAGTTTTGTATAAGGCTTCTTTTGCTCAGAAAAATATTTTTCAGATTGATCCACATTGTAGCATTTATTAATAGTTTGTTCCTTTTTCTTGCTGAGTAATATTCCATTCTATGGACATACTACAATTTGTTTATTCATCCAGTTGTGGATAAGAAATTGATGTTTTAAGCCAGTAAGTGTTAGGATGGTTTGTCACTCAGCAACAAATCACTAAAATAGTCTGTTATTGGACATCTTTTCTCATCTACCCACACTCCCTGCATAGGTGAACCCAGCCAGTCCCATTGCTAAACCAGTCTACATGCTGCCAACTCCAGCTCCAAACTCCCTAAACCTCCAGACTCACATTTCCAACTTCCTTCTCATTCTCCACTTGGGTGACTAGTAAGCACCTCAAATAAAAAAGACTCTTTCTTCTTTTTTGAGGACAATTAGCCCTGAGCTAACATCTGCCGCCAATTCTTCTCTTTTTGCTGAGGAAGATTGGCCCTGAACTAACATCCGTGCCCATCTTCCTCTATTTTATATGTGGGATGCCTGCCACAGCATGGCTTGATAAGCGGTGTGTAGATCCACGCCCAGGATACGAACCAGTGAACCCTGGGCTGTCAAAGCAAAGTGCACCAACTTGACCAGGCTGGCCCCAAAAAGGACTCGTGATCACCCCGTTAGAGAGCTAAGTCTTTGCCATCTCAGCCAACGGCAAATCTATCCTAGTTGACTGGGACAAAAATCTGGGAATCATCCTTGATTCCTCTTACTTTCACACCCCATGTCCAATCCTTCAGTAAATCCCATTGGCTCTATTTTCAAAATATATGCAGAATCTAACCACTTCTCATCACCTCCTTCACCACCAACCTGGTCTAATCCATTATTCCTTACCTCACTATTGCAGTGGCTTCCTAACTAGTTTCTCTACTTCCGCTCCTGCCTCCTCCCTGCCCCACCCTCACCCCAGCAGCAGCCAGAGTGTTCCTTTAAACAAGTTTAAGTCAAATTATATCACTTCTCTGCCCAAAACCCTCCTGTGGCTTCCCATCTCAGAATAATCCAAAGCCTAAATTTTTTGTAAATCATGTATCCAATAAGGGACTTGAATCCAGAATATATAAAGAACTATTACAACTCAATAATAAAAAGACAAATAACCTAATTAAAATATGGGGAAAGGATCTGAATAGACATTTCTATAAAGAACAGCCAATAAGTACATGAGAAAATGCTCAACATCGCTAGCCATCAAGGAAAGGCAAATAAAAATCCCAATGAGATTACCTCACACCCACTAAGATGGTTATAACCAAAGAGACAGATAATAACAAGTGTTGGTGAAGATGTGGAGAAATTGGAATCTTTATACATTGCTGGTGGGAATATAAAATGGTGCCGCCACTTTGGAAAACTAGGAATTTCTCAAAAGATCAAACATAGAGTTATCATATGACCCAGCAATTCTACTACAAGGAAAATGGAAATATATGTCAACATGAAAACTTGTACACAAATGTTCATAGCAGCATTATTCATACTAGCCAAAAAGTGGAAAGGATCCAAATGTCCATCAACTGATGAATGAATAAATGAAATGGGGTATATCCACACGGTGGAATATTTCTTGGCAATAAAAAGAAATGAAATACTGATACATGCTACAACTTGAACGAACCTTAAAAACATAATGCTAAATGAGTGTTACAAAAGATTGCATATTGTATGATTCCATTTATATGGAATGTCCAGAATAGGCAAATCTATAGAGACAGAAAGTGGATTAGAGGTTGCCTAGGGCATGGGGGTGGAGTGGAGCGGAGGATTACAGTTAGTGGGTGTGGGGAGTCTTTTTGGGGTTATGAAAATGTTCTAAAGTTGATTGTGGTGAAAGTTGCACAACTCGGAATATACTAAAAGCCATTAATTGTATACTTTAAATGGGTGAATTTTATGGAATGTGAATTTATATCTTAGTAAAGTTGTTTAAAAAAAAAATCCCATCTTACAATGGCCTACAAGATCCTCACCCAGGCGAGTTCATCTCCCTCCATCCTTTTCTTTGCTCACTCTGCACCAATCACTTTGGCCTCCTTGATGCTCTACAGGCCCACCAAACCCCCTCCCAGCTCAGGCCAGGGCTATGGCTTCTGGTTGAGCAGTTTGTGCACTGAACAAAAAGCCCTTGAGGGTGCATGAGGGAACTGCGATCCAGTTGTCCAGCCTGGGAGGCAGGGGCTGTGCCCTCTCCGAGCAGTCATCTCTGCTAATGAGCACACAGGTCTGTGCTAGCCATGACCATGCTCAGGCTTCTGCACACACTGTTCCCTCTACTTCTCCTACTCTTCCCCCACATATCTGCACAACTCACTCACACTTATTCAGTCCTCTGCTCAAATGGCATCAGAGAGGCCTCCCCTGACCACCCCGTGGTAGCACCCCCTACTCCCATCATTCTGTAAACCTTCACCCTCTTTTATTTTACTTCCTAGAACTTATTGACACCTGATATATCATTTATTGATGTATGTTTGGGGTCCCACCTGTCTCCTTCCACTGGAATGAAAACCCCATTAGAACAGGAGCTTCGTTTAGCTCACTGCCCAGAATAACGTCTAGGATATAGTAGGTTCTCAATAAACATTTCTTAAACATGAATAAATTAAGTAAAATCAAGCGATTAGCAAAGGCACAATCACGGACCAGTCTAGGCCCATTCTAGGCGAACAGAAGCTGTGTTTTTTAGAGGACTGGACTGACTGAGTCACCAGGGGAAAGTGGCAGGGTGCGCTGCCTAGCTCTCAGTGGCCGAGACCACCCGCAAGACAAGGCACCAGGGATTAAAATGCGGACCTCGTTTTAATGAGGGGTGAGAGCCAGTGCTCAGGGAGGGGACGCCTCACGGGTCTGGCTCTTACCTCTTCTTTAGTGTAGTACTTCAGGAGGCCTTCCCTTGCCAGGAGGACAAACCTCCTTCTCAGGAACTGCGCGTTGTCCCTTCCCCGCTTCCACAGGAACCCTTCTCGGTTACCTTAGCCGCCAAGGACGAGAAAGAGTGAACACGTGTGGCCTCAAGATGAACAAGCAGCTCCTGAAGCTCGTAGGGGCTCAGGGGTGGAATGCAGCCTCCACGTGCCGCTAAAATGTCTCGAAGCAAACTTAGCTATTTCAGGGGCAGGACGCGGGGGTCCTGTCTGGGGCCAAATTTGCAAGGTCTTATGATTTCAGTTGGGCTCGCCTCGACATCCTTCCTCGGCTGTTTCACGGGAAGACACAGTAAACCCTTAAGGAGGCTAAGGACTGAAAACTGGACTGATTCTCACAGAGGTCCACACTGTCCTGCTCAACCTCACGTTGACATGGGCCTAATGAAACTCTCCATTGTGCGGGAACAACGAGTGACCTGTATGCACCCGCTGGTGGGAGAACGCTGCCTGCTCCTGGTAGCTAGGACCGGCTGCCTTTGGTCCTCAAGGAGTGGTTTTGTACACTTTGCTGTCTGGGTCAGTGTCAGCTTGGACTCCGAGCCGCTGGGCAGAAACTGCGCAAAGCGGGAAACGGAGGCTGAAATGCAGCCCATGCAGCTTACCAGCCTGGTGCCACACCAGGGGCTACACCAGCCAGGGGCAGGGGTGCCTTCTTCTCATTGGTCTGCTGGGGACTGAGTCTTCCTGCAATTCACACTAAGAGTCTATACACATTTGAGGCCTTGCAGGGACCTGAGATAAATACGCCTCCTGGCCACGCAGACCGTAAAACCCCGCCAGCTGATGTGTCACTGTTTCAAAGGGAGAGGAACTCACACCCTGGCCTCTGTGGCCAGAGCGAGGGCAGCAAGAATCTCTTGGTTGGACCTTGTGCCTAATACTCAGGCATCTTGTTTTCTAGAACTCATTAGAACATAGACCTCAAAAGGGGATGAAAATAACTTTACCTGGCGGTGAGATCATCTTCCCATCAGCCATGAATTCCTGTCTCTCGTACTTAGCTCGAATCCACTGTTCCTTTAAGACCCTAAACAGAGAGAACCTGTGGTCAGCTGTATCCGATGCAGCCTCTTCCCACAGTAACTTTCCGACCCCGTAGCCGAGGGTGGGAATGTTACAGCAGCTGCCTCACTGCCTGCTCCGCTGACCCAGGGTTCTCAGCCTCGCTACTATTAACATTTGGAGCTGGATCATTCCTTGCTGTGGGGGGCTGTCCTGTGCTCCGTAGGATGTTTAGCAGCATCTCTGGCCTCTACCCCGTAGATGCCAGTAGGACCCCCTCCCCAGTTGTGACACCCAAAAATGTCTTCAGACATTGCCAGTGTCTCCTGGGAGGAAACATTTCCCCCAAAGGGCTACATGAAAACCACTGGGCTATTCCAACCCCAGCCTCAGCCCTCTAGTCAACAGGAGAGTTACTGGCTCCCCTGCCTCCTCCCACTGCATGCTCGTGAGCTGAAGCCAGAAGAGCCCACGAGCCTCTCCCTGTGGCCCGTTCATGAAATCTGGGCATGCTACACTGCACAGAGCAGTAGTCTTGGGATTCGACCACCTGGGACCTGGTCCCACTCTATTGTTTACCCACTGTGTGACCAAGGGCAAGTTACTTAACTCCTCTGAATTTGGAGACTATGCCAATATTATACCTACCTACCCCTTAGGGTTGTTAAGAGGTTTAAACGTACATAAAGTACATACCACGCTCAGCACATAGCAGATTTAATGTTAGCCAAATCAGATACTGTCATCCATGACCCCTGCAGAAAAACCATGCAGCTAAGAGTGGACTTATTTCAACTGTGTGGTTCCCTCTCGCCTTTTCCAGGTAAAGGTTCCAAGGTTTATGTGAGCTCACCCCACAGCCACAGGGAATGACCAAGAGCTGGGTGCCTGGCCCAAACCGGCCAACCAGAGCTCTGCCCGGGGCTGTGTGGACCAAAAGGAGGGAAAGTGAGAGAGCAATGGATTGGAAGCCCTCTCTGGGGCAAGCTGGGAGCTGGAGCCGGGGACCTGGAAGTGGCTTTGCTCCCACTGCATGAAGGAGGCTGGCTGAGAGAAAGAGGTGGGAAGGAGAGCCAGAGAGAGGGTGAGAGACCCGACAGTGTTTGAGGCCCTGGCTTGTCTTTGCTGAGGTCTGAGCCCCAGAACCCATAAAATCACCTTGTTCCCCAGCTGGTTTAAACTAGGTTTCTGTCACTTACAATCAAGAGTCCTACCTAATGTACAGCTCTCACCCCAGCACACTGAGGAGAGCCCCCAAGCCCACTGTGGAGTCCTGAGCCACAGGATCAGAGCTGGGAGAAGAAATGGAAACTGAGGCCCCAATCCTGGCCCTGGAGGTGGGGAATTTAGAGGACTTTTAGAATTGGGGGGGAGGGGGCAATTAGTATTCAGCTAAAAGGGGTTAATGGGCAGGGCTGCTGTTGGAGTCATGACAACAGCGTCGGTGTAGTGCCGGCAGAAAGCCTAGCACATAGTGGGTGCTCACCAAGTGGCTGCTCCCTTCCCCTAGGAGCAAAGGGCTGAGTGGCAGCAGGAAGGCAAGATGAGCCAGGCCCCCTGAAGTGTGGCAGATCCACCTGCTGGGCCAGGGACCAGGCAGCATTCCGAAGCTGACACTGAGAAATGGATTAAAACTAGCTTGTTGGGTGACCCGTGAGATGTTTTCCATAAATTATCTCATTTAATCTCGCCAACCATGCTATAAAGTATGCATCATTACCCACATTTCAGAGGTGAGGATGCCATGAATCAGAGAGGTTTGGTAACTTGTCCGCCTTCTCATAGCTAGATAGTGGTAGAGTCAGGAGACAATACTGGGGTCTTCTGAGTTGAAAGCTATGACCCCCCTGCCATTACACACGGCATCAACAGCCCCCCTGGGTTGTTTAAATACTAAGAAATTTCAGGACACTAGGTACAGTTGTATAGTTTGTGCGCTGTCCAAAAGCATTCCTCAAGGCTAGAGGGCAGCAGTGGCTGAAACGCAGCCTGCTTCCTGCAAGCCCTGCCCCCAGGAGGTTGTGTCTGCCCAGAGGGACACCTTCTCCCCCTCTATACAAGGCGTGTCCAGCAGCCCTGGTGGTGAGGCTGAGGCCCCGGGAGGGGGGCCCAGGCTCGGGCAGTCAGTCCTGCAGAGGTCTGGGGTCACAAGGGACCAGTGTCACACTGACCCCTCACCTCCAGGAAATTCCAACCCTCCTGCTGCTGCACAGCGCCCCAGTCCCCGCCCAGCCATTGTACTGGATTTTGCCAATGCCGTGGGGCAGTCATCCAGGCCCTGGTGTCAGACGGGCTGGTCCCAGCTGTGCCTCTATAAGCCTCAGGTTTTCCATCTATATCCTGGGGTTAATGGTAGTATTTATCTCGTAAGGTTGTTGAGAGAATTAAACAAATTAATTAGCACCGAGGCTGGTACACAGGAAAAGCTCAATAGATATTAGTAGCTACTATTATTTGTATGCTTATTATTTAGGGGTCTGGGGTCCAGGCAGCTGCTCTGGAGCTGCCTGAGCTCAGATGGGACAGTCCTAGGCACAACACTCTGCAGGAAGTAGCTGAAATATGTTTGTTCTACTAAAACACCAGCGTTTCTCTCCTCTATCAAGTTAGCCACCACCTGTAGGCTATAAGCACAGCAGAGGCAAAGGGGCAGGTCATAGAGAAAATGTCCCATTTCACAGCTGTGGAAACTGAGGAAAATAAAGGCAGAGAGGGGCTTAAACCAGGTTTATGTGCTCTCCAGGACAGCACCAAGTGCCCTCCCGGGCGCACCTGCTGATCAGGTCCACAGAAGAGACCACCACGAAGGCAGCGGAGAAGGGGGAAGGGTGGGGGCGGGGGACTAGGAAATCACCCACTCACAGGCAGTCGTTGGCCTGGGGAATATAGTAGAAAGCAGGGACTCTGGCTTCGTACTTGGCCTTCACACGGAGGTTCCCGTTGTGGGTCATAAACTGCAAGACAAGAGCAACTTGGGGTAAGTTTAGAACTTGAAAAAATGTGAAATGAAACCACAGTCTACCCAGAAAGCCACTGTTCTCACTGGCTCCTAGACTGAGTCAGGAGACACTCCTACAGGAGTTTGACACGTCCCACTGGGCTTGGTCATCCACGCTTCTGGGAAGCCCCAGTCTGGAACAATGAGGAGCTATAGTAACCATGCCTTGCACAGGCAGAGTAGTTTCTAGTTCTCACACATAAGCTCATTTGATCCCCTCAACCATTTTAATATTACTGTCCCCATGTCAGAGATGAGGAAACTGAGACTCAGAGAGGTGAAGTGACTTACCCTAGGTGACACAGCTAGTAAGTGAGAGCTGGGATTTGAACTCAGGCCTGTCTAACTTCAAAACTCATGTTCTTTCTCCTACCCCCTCCACAGATGGCTCAGACCCCCAGCAACAGTCCCTGCAAGTCTGCAGGAGATACACGTAGCTGGAGGATGGAAGAAGTCAGTACTGGCCCCACAGAGCACATAGGTCAGGATGATCACTGGGGCCCTCTGACACCCAAGCAACCCAGAGGCAGATGTGCCAAGAGTGGTCCTGGCCAACAGTCAGCCCTCAGTAACAGCAGTGGCATATCTGGGGCGAGGGCACAGGTGGGAAGAAACATCAGCTTTTTAATCCACGCCCCTTGGGCAGAAGGAATTCTGTCCTCCCCTCCCCTGGGGACCACTGGGCTGTGTCATAGGATCTGCGTGTTGCTTTGGATCTCAACAGAGCAGGGGTCACATCCCAGCTGTGCCATTTATTTACTGAGTGACCTTTGGGCAATACTCAACCCCCTGAACTTCAGGGATCATACCTGCAAAATTGAAGAAAATACAACAGGGGAGTTAAAAGGCACAAAGGAACCACCTTCAGGCCTACGTGCCGGTTTATGAGTTTCCTGTCTTTCTCCTGCACTAGAATGTGAGCTCCATGTGGGCAGAGACTTTATCTTGCTCACTGCTCTCTCCTAATACCCAGCACACGGTAGGCCTACAGTAACTATGTGTTGAAGGAGTAAGTAAAGCATCTAGCCCAGCGGTCTTGGCACAGTGCTGGCCACTCTGGGCACTCAGTAAACATCAGCCTGCTTCCCTAACAGTCCTCACAGTCCTAAGCCAACCAGCACAGTTCAGAGCTGCCTGCTCTCGGAAGGTTTTCTGGCCAAAACGGTATTATCATCCAGGCTGAAGGTGTCCTCTATCTGTATAAGTCAGGAGAGCAAAATGGTCCCCTTCCTGGCTAGGGGGCCAAAGAAGGACTACAGACCGTGAATCAGGATGCTTCAGCTCCACTCCAGGACTTCAGCTAGTGAGAACAGCAGCCGTTAACTGACTACTTACTCTGTTAGCACTGAGCCTCCATTCAGCCCTCACAGCAGCCCTGTGAAGGGGCAGTGGTAGCCCTAGAGTGCAGATGTGGAAACTGAGGGCCCACAGCCAGGGTTATGTAACAACCCAGGGCCTCGCAGCTTGTCAATGAGAAGTTGATGGAGCTGGAAGTTGAACTCAGGGCCTCTGTCTAAGCTGTAACTCTAGTAGGCTGTGTTTTCACTCTCTAGTTATTGGCTGTCTCTGGGCCTCAGTTTCTCCCCCGCAGAATGGGAGCACCCCGCCCACCACCTCTCCGCCAGCCCTGGTGCCCTCTTGCTACCTCCACAATGCTGTCGTCCCAGAAGTCAAGTCTCACGGATTTAACTCTGCTGATGTCTGGGAAGTTGCGGTGGACGCCGGAGCAGTTCAGACAGATGAAGATGCCCAGCTTGTAAGAGGCCCAGTCGGGATCTGCGGGGCGAGAGGGCAGGAGGGGAGCCGGGTGGAGAGCAGGGCGACGAAGCCAGGGCTAGACTGGGGGCGCTGGGAGAGGCAGGGCTTGGCAGTTAGGGTTCCTGGGGCGGTGTCCAGCTCTGCCCATGCCGGGAACCCTTTCTCTCTTAGTCTCCCCACTTTGGGTGAGCTAAGATACCAGCATGGAAACTTCTGGTCAGCCCACCGGCCATGGCGCGGCGGCGACCAGGATGAAGATCTTGAAAGGAGCCCCGGGGATGGGGGCCAGAGGCTGAGGCGGGCGCGATGTGGAAGTGGCAGGTCTCCGGGGAACCGAGAGGAGAGCGCAGGGGGAGGGACCGGCACCGAGCCGCCCGGCTGGGGAGCTGCAGGTGGGGAAGTCTGAGTCAGGGCCCCCCCCTCCCCACCCCGACCCCGGCGTCCTCAGGGTCGGAGCAGGGACGCGGGAGGACCCTGGGGAGGTGCGAGTGGGGAGGGAGGGGGCACTGGATGGTCAGGGAGCCCGGGCCCGAGATCCGGGATATTTGGGTCCGACGGTGTGGGAAGTGGCTGGCTGCGGAGTGAAGACGCCAGGGACCGAGGTCCGGGAGGGTAGGGTGTCTGGAGGCGGAGGTGAACAGGATGGTCAGGGCACCTGGGTCCGGGATCTAGTGGCTCGGTCCAAGGATCGGGAAATATCCGTGCCGGGGTCCAGAGTGGGGAGGACAGGGGGCCTGAGTTCGGGTGGGCGCGACATCTGATGAGGACAGGGCGGTCGGGGGCCTGGATCGGAGATTCAGAGTCTGGGTGGGCGGGGGCCTGGGTCCGAAGGGGTGCTAAGGGTCACGCCCGGGTCCGGCGGGGGCCCCGGACGCGAGCCGGTGTGGAAGGAGGGGAGGGGTCCGGCTCCGGTGCGGGCTGCCCGCGCCGCCGCGCCCTTACCCGCCGCCCCGCAGTCGGCGCACTGCGCGTTGCCGGTGCCCGCCGCCTGCAGCAGCTCCAGCAGCCGCTTCTTGTTCCGCTCGCGGTCGCCCATGGCCGCCCATGGCCCGTGCGCTCGCCCAGCAGGTGGAGAGGACCGAGCCGCGCGCCTCCCGACCGCCGCGCCGCCGCCAGCCCCGCCCCGGCCCGCCCCTCCCGGCCGCACCGCCCTGCCTCGGCGCGTGCGGTCCGCCCCCAGCCCCGCGGGCTCAGCAGGGAGGGACCCGAGCGCCGCGCTTGGAGACCGTCGCGCCGACCCGAGATCAATCCTGACCCGCCACTTGCTAGCTGAGTGACTATGGACAACCTCGTCAACCTCTCTGGGCGTCAGTAAAAGGAGAATAAGGGCCTATGTCTGCGTCTCAGGGCTCCTGGGAAAATTAAACAGGATCTAACTTCTGTTAAAGCGTCCTACTAATGCAGAGCTTACCTCTACCTAGAGACTTAGAGACATTCAAATGCCACCTCTTCAGGAAGCCCTCCTTGACACCTAGCCTCGAGTCATCTCTGCAGTTCTGGTCTTCCGACAACACCGTTACAGGATCCGTCCATCCCTTCAGCCCTAAGCACTTTCCATCTACCTTGCATCACAGTTATCTGTATATTTATGCTACTCCCAACCCCTCAACACACGCATGCCCACACTAGATAGTTTGATGTCGGTGGTTTAATTTCCGCATCCCACATAGCTCCCAGGAGCAGCACCTGCACGTTGTAGAAGTCCAACAGATAGCGGCATGTTCACCAGGAAGTGTGACTTCTTTTCTTTTTTTTTCTTTTCTTTTTGAGGAAGATTACTCTGAGCTAACTAGTGCCAATCCACCTGTTTTTGTTGAGGACTGGCCCTGAGCTAACATCCGTGCCCATCTTCCTCTACTTTATATGTGGGATGCCTGCCACAGCATGGCTTGACAAGTTGTGCCATGTCCGCACCTGGGATCCGAACAGGCGAATCCTGGGCCACCGAAGCAGAACCTGTGCACTTAACCACTGCGCCACCAGGCCGGCCTGAAAGTGTGGTTTCACCACATGGACACTGCGGGCTCTTTTATCTGTGAAGTTCCATCACTGTGAGGTGTGGGCAGGGCCTCAGTGGTCCTGAATCTGGGCATTTCATGAGTCCTGGTCCCCCTCCCCTATCCCTGTCCTTCCTTGACACCTTCCTCAGGGACCCACAGGCTCCTAGTAAGGTACACACTTGCCATTCCCCTCTGGAGGTAAACACCCAGCTGTTATGTGCACATGGCTTAATGCATATGGATGTTAGGTTTCTATCCTGGTGGATCGCAGCTGATGTTCCAGCTGACCTGCCTGCATCCTCAGTTCAGCACACACGTGCACATGTGAACACACAGGGCAGCTTGCGATAATGGAATGGATCCAAGAATCCAGCCTTTGAATCTTGGCTCCATCACTGACTGGCTGTGTGGCCCTGGGCAAGTTCCTTCACTTCTCTGAAGCTTGGACTCCTCCTCTGTAAAATGTGGGTCTTGAGAGCCACCTAATAGGGCCACTGAGATGTGCTAGTACATGGCACACAAAGCCCTCAAAACATGGTGGCTCCCTTGCTTCCCTTGCCTCTCTGGTCAGCTCGTGGGATCATCATTTGGAATGCTGTGTGTCATTTCCCATCTTCCCCAGGCTGGGGGAGGTCAAGCCTCCAGCCTGCTGGGAAGAGGATATTACCGAGAATAACCAGCCAGGAGGGTCTGGACAGTGGGGGGGGTGAGGGCTAGCCCAGGAGCAGCTCCAGAGGAACCAGTGAGAGAAGCCCAGCAGGGGTCAGAGGGCATGGGGCTGTTTACCAAACAGGCCGAAAGATGATTCATTTCCTCTGCTTTGGATGAAAAAAAGGACAGAAATAAATCTCCCAGGAGAAAGATGGGAAAGGCAACTAAGGTATGAAGGCAAGGCGAAGGGGGAGGTAGGGGGACTAAGAGGGGACAGGCCAAGGACATCATTTCTCCACTGCCCAGTGCCTTCCCCAGTCTGTGCACCTTTGTCCCACTGAGCCACTCTCCTCTGGCACTTGAGTCTCACCATCCCCTCCATGGGGGTCCCACAAAAGCCAACCCAAGGGAAAATACGGCACCTGCTGCAGGGTGAGGAGCCAGAGATGGAGAGATTACTTTGTTTCCCCTCCTCTCATCCTTATTTCTGGAGGTTTCCATTTAACCTCCAGTAATTCCAAGCCTTAAGGTGGAATTTCAGGCATCTTCAGAGAAAAAAAAAGTACTATTGAATTTTGTTTGCGATGGGTTTCTTTCCTTCCTTCTTTTTTTGGAGGGAGGGGAGGGAGAGAAGGATAATGCTGGTTAACAATTAGTGAGTGTTTCACAGAGAGTTTCGCACCATTTGATCACACTTGAGTTTCCTGATAGCCCTCAGAGGAGTTAAGTGACCCAGGGTCACAGAGCCAAATGAGGAGCAGAGCGGGGGCCTCGATTGAGGTCCCCTATTGTGGTGTCCCCTGGTCCCAGGTTATGTCACGAAACCCCCCATGACAAGCCCCTCTCGCTTTAGGCCTCCCATTCCTGGATATTTCTTTTTTTCACTTAAAAAAAAATTGTGGCAACATCTCTAGAACATAAAGTGGGCCATTTTAACCATTTTTAAGTGTACTATTCAGTGGCATGAATTACATTCACAATGTTGTGCAACCATCGCCACGATCCAATTCCAAATGCTTTTCATCACCACAAAGAGAAGCTCTGCAGCCCTCTCCTATGTATTGGAAGTGACAAGAGTCGAGCCCTGCTCTGCGTTCAGGAACCAGAAGCCAGACTAAGGGATGAGCGCTGTGCTGAAGGCTGTCAGGACAGGGGCAGACGCCGAGCTCTGGGATCAGGGGCCTGGCTGCGAGGGGCAGGGTGGGCTGAGTTAGCCTCCCTTGCGGGCTCAGTGCATACAGCAGCTGCCGGGGTGAAGGGGCAGTCTGGGTCCTGGGACAGAGTGTCCTGGGTAAATAAAGCTCCCAGGGTCCCTCAGAGCACAAACATCCTGCCCTGCTCTCGGGATCACTGCCTGCCGAGCCGAGCCCAACCGCAGCAGGCCTGGAACAAAGCCTTCGACCACATTCCCAGCCATGGACCGGGCTCAAGATCCCCAGGGAATATACCACAGCCCCCTTGAAAATTTAAATAATTATGTTTATTAGTTATAGAATTTAGAAAACTATTGGGGTGGGCCCAGTGGCGTAGTGGTTAAGTTCACCCGCTCTACTTCGGAGGCCCAGAGTTTGCTGGTTTGGATCCTGGGCGTGGACCTACACACTGCCCATCAAGCCATGCTGTGGCAGGACCCAACATAGAAGAACTAGAAGGACTTGCAACTAGGATATACAATTAGGTACTGGGGCTTGGGGAGAAAAAAAAGAGGAAGATTGGCAACAGACGTTAGTCAGTGCCAATCTTCCTCACCAAAAAGCATACTTTTATTTATTTATTTATTTATTTGAAGAAGATTAGCCCTGATCTCACATCTGCTGCCACTCCTCCTCTTTTTGCTGAGGAAGGCTGGCCCTGAGCTAACATCGGTGCCCATCTTCCTCTACTTTATATGTGGGACGCCTACCACAGCATGGCTTGCCAATCGGTGCCATGTCCACACCCGGGATCTGAACTGGCGAACCCCAGGCTGCCAAAGCGGAACGTGCACACTTAACAGCTGTGCCACTGGGCTGGCCCCCCAAAAAAGCATACTTTTAGGAAAAAAAAAAGAAAACTATAATCACAGGAAATTTGGAAAATGCAATAAAGAAGAAAGAAAACGCCCATGATTAAGGCCACTGTTAATCCAGGGATTGCTGTATGTCAGGCCCCTTACATGTGTTATTCCATTTAATCTTCAATACAACCCTGGGGCACAGACTATTTTTAGGCCCATTTTACAGATGAGACAACTGAGGCCCTGAGAGGGAATTTAAGCAAATTCATCCGTGCTCATACGACTGAGACGATGCATACTGAGTAATAAATAGTACGGGAGCTGGGATTCGAACCCAAGTTTACCTTGGGCCCTTTTCATCAATACATTAAGTTGAATCATGTAAAATAATAAACAATAAAGTGGGATCACAAAAGTGTTTTCTTTTTTGAAGGATAGAAATAACAGGCAGGCACGCGAAACAGCAGAAAATCAAGCACAAGAACTCACTCAAGTTTACCTGTTTGTACATTGTGTCACTTTGTCTTCAATGGGAACCAGCTCAGAGCCCAGAGGGATTCCCCACTGCGATACTGCAGTGTTTGCTCACTCACCCGATAAATATTTATTGACGGGGCTGGCAGATGGCCAAGTGGTTAAACACACGCTCTGCCTCGGCAACCAGGGTTTCACCAGTTCGGACCCTGGGCACAGACACGGCACCGCTCATCAAGCCATGCTGAGGCAGCATCCCACATGCCACAACCAGAGGGACCTACAACTAGAATATACAACTATGTACTGTGGGGCTTTGGGGAGAAGAAGAAAAAAAAAAACCCGGAAGATTGGCAACAGATGTTAGCTCAGGTGCCAATCTTTTAAAAAAAATTTCTTGAGCACTTACTATGTGCCAGGCACTGTTCTGGGTATCAGGGAAATAGCTATAACCAAAGCAAAAGGTCCTGCCTTCGTGGAGCTCACCTTCCAAGTGGGGGAGACAGAAAACGAACAGAGAAACAAATATACCTACATACAATATGGTACCAGAGTGGTAAGTGCTATTGAGAAAAATAAACAGACTAAGGGGTAGAGAAGGATGGAAGATGCTATTTTGATAGGGAGGTCAAGGAAGCCCTCTCTGAGGGGTCGGCATTTAAGCAAAGATCTGAAGGAAGGGGTTGAGCCAGCCAGGCCCCTATCTGAAAGAAGAGTCCCAGGAAAAGGGAACAGCAAGTGCAAAGTCCCAGGGGTGGTAACATGCTTGGTGTGTGCTTTGTCCACCTCCTTGAGCACAGAGATGTCCAACTCCATGCTGCTGTGCCTTGCTCACGCTGCTCCCTCTCCCACTCCAGCTCCCTCCTCCTCCGCGCCACCCTCCTGCCGAGCCCCCATTGGTCTAGCAAACTCCTGCCTCCTGCCCAAATTCAATCTTACTTCCTACAGCTTGCCCTCATCGCCCTCATCTAAGTTGCCACAATGTTCGTATTTCTATTACAATCACCATCAGGTTGTACCATGGGTTTTTTCATCTGTTTTGTCCCAGTTGGCAATGATTTCTTTAAGAGTAGATTGTCATATTCATCTTTGGACCTTTGGTGCCTAGGAAGCGCTGGGGCCAAAAAATGTTGGTTGACCCATTTATGTGAAATGTCCAGCCCAGGCCAATCCAGAGAGACAGGAAGCAGGTTAGTGGTTTCGGGGGGGTCGGGGGGTGGGGAGAGTGATTGTTAAATGGGTACAAAGTTTCCTTTTGGGGTGTTGAAAATGTTCTGGAACTAAACAGTGGTGATGGTTACACAACACTGTGAATGTATTAAATGCCTGAATTGTACACTTTAAAGTGGTTAAAATGGTGAACTTTACGTTATGTGAATTTTGCCATGATTAAAAAATGGTTGAATTGAGGGGCTGGCCCCATGGCCGAGCGGTTAAGTGCGCGCGCTCCGCTGCAGGCGGCCCAGTGTTTCGTTGGTTCGAATCCTGGGCGCGGACATGGCACTGCTCATCGGACCACGCTGAGGCGGCGTCCCACATGCCACAACTAGAAGGACCCACAACGAAGAATATACAACTATGTACCGCGGGGCTTTGGGGAGAAAAAGGAAAAAATAAAATCTTTAAAAAAAAAAAAATGGTTGAATTGAGTGGAGCTGAGAGCCCCATTATGTTTGTGCAAGGCTGGCCCAGGGGGCGCAGAGGTTGAGTTTGCATGTTCCGCTTTAGTGGGCCGGAGTTTGCTGGTTCGGATCCTGGGTGCGGACCTACACACCACTTGTCAAGCCACGCTGTGGCAGGCATCCCACATATAAAGTAGAGGAAGATGGGCAGGGATGTTAGCTCAGGGCCAGTCTTCCTCAGCAAAAGGAGGAGAATTAGTGGCAGGTGTTAGTTCAGGGCTGATCTTCCTCAAACAAGGTACAAACATTATGGATTCATCCATGTTGCTGGGTGTACTTGAAGTTTATTCAATATATGCATAATCTTTTGACATTTGAGATATTCTAGGTGTTGGCTAATACAAATAGTGCTGCTATGAACATTCTAGTATTAGGTTTAACCAAGTGAAATTGCAGTTTTTGTAAATCAACAACTGTCAAATCCTGGCAATTTTATACATACAGTTCAACCTATTGCATATCTTTCAGTGCACATAGGTTTGCATTCTGTTGAATATATATATACCCAGGTGGGAGTGCTGGGTCATCGGGTATACATCTGTTCAGCTTTAGAAGATACTGGAAACGGTTTTCCAAAGCCATTCTACCAATCACTCTGCCATCAGCACGTGTGCAAGCTGCACACCCTCACCAATGCTCCGGTCTATTGATCTGTTGGGGTTATGTGTGTTTCTCACTTCCGCTATTCTCCTGGGTGTGTAGTGGCATCACGGTGTGTTCCCTGATGACGAATAAAGGGAACACCTTTCCATCAGCTAATTGCTCACTTGAATATCCTCTTTAGGTGAAGTACCTATTCAAGTCATTTGCCCTTTTTTTCAGTTGCTTTGCCTGCCTTTTTCTTATTTATTTATTTTTTAAGATTGTATTTTTTTCCTTTTTCTCCCCAAAGCCCCCCGGTGCACAGTTGTATAATCTTTGTTGTGGGTCCTTCTAGTTGTGGCATGTGGGACGCTGCCTCAGCGTGGTTTGATGAGCAGTGCCATGTCCGCGCCCAGGATTCGAACCAACGAAACACTGGGCCGCCTACAGCGGAGCGCGCGAACTTAACCACTCGACCACAGGGCCAGCCCCTGCCTTTTTCTTATTAATTTGTAGGATTTTTTTTAATATATTCTGGATAGGAGTTCCTGTTTGTTATATGTATGGCAGATATCTTCTTTCACGCTGTGGCTTGCCTTTTCACTGGTGTCTTTTAACGAACAGATATTCTTAACCTTAATGAGGTCTAATTTATCTGTTTTTTTCCTTTATGGTTAATGCTTTTTATGTTCTGTTTTAGAAATGTTTGCCTATGTCAAGGTCACGACGTTATAGAGCACTAAGTTTTTATGTTTTTCCCAAATAAAATTAACCTTTTGGATGCTGCATTCGTGATCATTCATTTATTTTTTTCAACACACACTTAGTGAATGCCCAAGTGCACCAGGCAATGTGCTGGCTATTACAGGGGATATAGTTACGGCCTGTATCTGTCGTGTACTCTGGAGAGATCTGAAGAGGCTTGCCAGGTACCTCACTTGCCCCAGTTCACACTGTTAGCATGCTGGGATTGGCACACCGGTTAAAACACAGGCTGGATGGATTCCAGAGTCTGAGCATCATCACTGAGCTCCTGTCTCCAGGAGCAATGTAGAGACACCAGGAATGGATTTTTGATATATTCCAGTTGGTAGCTTCCAGATCATCTGGGGAAAATGTATAGAGTCAAATAAGAGGACAAAGACATGTAGTCAAAGCAAAACAAGACCAAAAAAACCCTGTGTCTCAAAACAGTGTGTATTATGAGAGAGACAGGAGTCAAGTGCTTGGGAGAAGGGAGCAGATGCTTCTGAAGCCTGGTACCTGAGGGTGACTGTAAATAACCAGTAAGAACATGATTACCCTGGGGCTGGCCCCACGGTGTAGTGGTTAAATTCGGTGGCCGGGGTTCATGGGTCAGACCCTGGGCAAGGACCTACACCACTTGTCAGCCATGCAGTGGCAGTGACCCAGTATAAAGTAGAGGAAGATTGGCACAGACGTTAGTTAGTTCAGGACTAATCTTCCTTAGCAAAAAACCCCAACATGATTACCCTTTGACCTTGTTTCAAACACAATCACAGATGAAAAGAAGTTAATCTTGTTAATTTTTGCTTTTCTTATTTAGCCTGAAGGGTGACTGAAGGGTCACAAGGATTTATGAGCTTGTTTTGTAGAAGAAAAACAATGTCTTCAAGGAAGTTATGATCACCAGATAACCAGCCTCCAGCTGCCAATGCCCCAAGTCTGATTGCCCAAGGGCTTATGTGGAGTGAAAGAAATAGGATGCCCCCTTTTGTTTCTATGAAACTCACCCTCCCAAGCCCCTTACCTCTATAAAAGCTCCTGCTCTCTTCTTTTGTTAAGGTGGATTTGAGAGAACCCATCCTCCCGCCTTCTCATTTTGGCCAATTTGAATAAACCTTTCTCCATCTCCAAGCAGATGTCTTAGTAATTGGCTTACTGCACATTGGCACAGGAATTTGAGATAAAGAGGTTTGGTATCACTTCTGGCTTGGGAGACAAGGAGACTTCTTGGGGTGGGAGGCACCCTTGTTGGCCCTTAAAGGTGAGCAGGGGCCGGCCTGGTGGCACACTGGTTAAGTTTGCAAGTTCCATTTCTCAGTGGCCTGGGGTTTGCTGGTTTGGATCCTGGGTGCGGACATGGCACCGCTTGGCAAAAAGCCATGCTGTGGTAGGTGTCCCATGTATAAAGTAGAGGAAGATGGGCACGGATGTTAGCTCAGGGCTAGTCTTCCTCAGCAAAAAGAGGAGGATTGGCAGTAGTTAGCTCAGGGCTAATTTTCCTCAAAAAAAAAAAAAAAGAAAACGGTGAGCAGAATTCAGACTGTTTGAGGGAGAGAGCATTCTAGGCCAGGGGACTGTTAGGCATGAAGGTGCAGAGGTAAGACAACACGGAACATGGGCGGGACTTCAAGGCGCCCAGTTTGTCTCCTGAGTGGGTGTATTAATCAGGAAGTTATGAGCTCCAGGTAACAGAATACTGATCTAAAAGCGGCTTAAACAATAAGATCAATTATTCCCTCACTGAATCAAAAGTCTGCAGATGGGTGGTTTCAGGGTTGGTCTAGCAGGTAAGCAGTGTCATTGTCATCAAGGCCTAGGCGCTATCCCTCTTTCTGTTCTTCACGCCCTTGTCAGCATTGCCTGTCCATGGAGAGGTGGCTGCTCCTCCCAGCTCATCCTCCCCAGATCACAGCCACAAGAAAGGGAAGGTGGCTGCTTCTCCTCCCACTGTTTATCAGCATATACAGTCTTTCCCTGATATGCCCCAAATGATGAGGATCAAGGCTGCCCCAGGGAGAGAAGCCCAAGGTGTCCTGCCCTATACACCAATCTATACCATCCTCCGGGAAGCATAGGACGTCCTGACCTGACCCGACCTGACTCGTATGCAAAGTTACAGGACCACCCAATAACCAGACTCCACCTGCACTGATACTATTTTAAGGACTTTTTTACATGATCTTTCCTTTGTCTTGTAAAGAAATAACACACATACCTATGCCTTATAAATGTAGCCCTACCCTCAACCCACTGCAGCTCTTCACTGCCCGTGGGTCCTGTCCCCATCCTATTCTCTGAATAAAGGAGCACTACTACCAGACCTTGAGAGTCCAAGAAACATTTCTTTCGATTCCTCAGCTCGCCAAGCCCACATCACAAACAGAATCACACCCACTCTCATCTTAATCATTAGAAAGGGAAATGGGAGCCAGCCCTGATGGCCTAGTGGTTAAAGTTTGGGGTGCTCTGCTTAGGTGGCCCAGGTTCGGTTCCCGGGCATAGAACCACACCACTCCTCTGATGGTAGCTACACTGTGGCAGCAGCTCACATAGAACTAGAGGACTTAAAACTAGAATATATAAGTATATACTAGGGCTTTGGGGAGGGAAGAAAAACAAGAGGAAGACTGGCAACAGATGTTAGCTCAGAGCAAATCTTTCCCAGCAAAAAAAAAAAAAAAAAAAGGGAATGGGACCACTATAACTAGTTCATCTTCCTTGAAGACACTGCCACTTGCCTACAACCAGGCATCTATCAGCAAGGAGGAGAGGCACCACCGTGGGTGTTGGGTGCCAGAATGGGTGCCCGGTGCTGAGCAGAGAAAGAGCTGGAGGGTGAAGGTGAGGCCCCACCACAGGCAGGAGCTGATTTAGTCAGCACTGGGGCTTCTGGTCAGGACATGTGTGTGAGGGACAGAGCGGGGGCTAGCAAAGCTGGGAAATCAGGTGTGTGTGGGGGGGGCTGTTATTGCAAGAGCTCAGGTGAGAGACAATGAGGCTCTGACTAGGGCTCACGGCAAGGAAGAGGTGAAAAAGACATTTTGTAGGCAAAGCAGATAGAATTTCATGTATTTTACACTGCAAGTTGCCACGTAGTCATAAGTCATGAAATTAATATCAATTCAGTGGTTCCAACTAACCCAACTTTCTTGTTTTTAATCTCTTGCCTCCTCAAAATCCTCTATGTCCTTAGTCTCCTTAACTTGGCTTTATCCCATTTCCTTTTAAATTTCTCTGAATATTGCTTCTCAATCTTTTGGGGAATCCGAATCCTCTACTCACGCCCAGTGCTGGCGCCCCCAGCATTCTCCTTGCCTCACTGTGCTTTTTGCACAGCACCCCTCTCCTGGCTTATCCCGGGCATTCTCATGGGATAAAGAGTCATCTCTCTAAGCTGCCAGTCTCCAGATCTACACCCCAGCACAGTCTTCTCCCTTAGCTTCAGACCCACATATCTGACTAGCTACTAGACGTCTCTACCTCATGTCCAGAAAATTTAAAAACGGTGAGCAGGGGCCGGCCCTGTGGCTGAGTGGTTAAGTTCACGTGCTCCGCTTCAGTGGCCCAGCATTTCACCAGTTCGGATCCTAGGAACCGACATGGCACTGCTCATTAGGCCACGTTGAGGTGGCGTCCCACATACCACAACCAGGAGGACCCACAACTAAAATATACAACTATGTACTTGGGGGATTTGGGGACAAAAAACAGAAAAAAAAGAAAGAAAAAGATTGGCAACAGTTGTAAGCTCAGGTGCCAATCTTAAAAAAAAAAACGGTCAGCATTTTTTTTTAAAAAATGAAGCAATAGAAAATCTGAAGGTGCATCATATGTAAAAACACAAGTCTTTTTTTTAAGCTTTTGTTTCATTTGTACATCTATGTGTCCTGAGTCATGGTCAAAAAAGCTTTAAAAACATACGAACTAGATAACAGGCTAGATATAATGATGAAAGGAACAGGAGGAGCCAATGACATCTGCATCTGGGAGCAGAAACAGGGAAGTGAGGAGGAGCTGGTTTCTGGGGAAGACGACGGACGACTTTCATTTTGAACGCACTGATTCTGGTTTACAGTAAATCACGCACAGTGGTTGCCTCTCTCCCTACCGCTTCCAGCCTCCAGTGACAGTGTTATTCTGAACAAATGCTCTGAGGAATGAGGGAGTTTCCCCCAGGGTCATCAATAATTAGTTCCCAGGAAGAGGAGATGCTTTCATGGGGGAACTAACATTCATCGCACCCTTATTATATGCTGGGATCTCTGCATCCAATTATTAACAAGAAAGCCCCTTTCCAGCCGTGTGAGGCAGGTACCATTACCTCCATTTCATGAATGAGGAAGCTGAGATTCAGAAAAGATGAGAAACTGTCTAAGGTTGCACAGTCAGAAAGTGATGGGTGGCATCTTGCCCACGAAACACACCATCTCTGGAGGCATCACCAGGGCTCCTGACAGCCCCAGGTATTAGTGTCCTGGAGCTGCTGTAACAGATTGCCACAACCTGGGTGCCTTAAAACAGCAGAAATCTATTCTCTCACAGTTCTGGAGGCTAGAAGGCTGAAATCAAGGTGTCAGTAGGACTGGTTCCTTCCCAGAGTGAATGTGTTCCACGCCTCTCTCCTAGCTTCTGATGCCCCGCGGGCAATCCGTGGCCTTCCTTGGCTTGTAGATGCATCACTCCAGTCTTGGCCTCCGTCCTCACGAGGCCTTCATATGTTGTCTTCCTATAAGGACACAAGTCATATTGGATCAGTCATCCCCCCACTTCAGTGTGACCTCATTTTAACTAATTATGACCCTATTCCAATGACCCTATTTACAAATAAGGTCACACTCTGAGATACTGAGGGTTAGGACTCAACTTACCTTCTTTGAGGGATACAGTTCAACCTCTAACACGTCCATAAATGGAATAAGCCCTGGAGTTATGAGGAAATTATTTCCTATGGAGTTGAAGGATTTTGCATCAAAAGTTGACTTTATTTCTTGTTAGATTCCTAAATTCCCCAGAAACTGGCAAGGTTTCCAGAATTCCTATGAGTAACGTGTGTAATTCCCCACATCCCCATTGCCTCCTGGACAATGTCTACACAGACGTCACCACCTCATAAAAACACAAACCCATGACCCTTCCCTCCAAAAGCCAACTCCCTCCTGACTTCCCCGTTTTTCACAAAACTAGCCAGAGGCCCCTCATCTTCCAGAAGAATTCTCTTCTCTCCACTCCTTACATTTCCCAGGTTCAACTCCTTATGGTTGCCTGTCTCTTGGGAAGATACACTCGCTTCCCAACATCTCTCCTCGTTCCCAAGCCCTTCACCTCCAGTCTGGCCTCACACTTCTACATACGGCCAGTTTCCTAAGACACATCTCCAGTCTGACTCCACAAAAGCCTCAGCGATTCCGGCTCCCTGGTGGAGCTGTTCGCCTGCTCCATGCCGCATTCAAGGCCCGAGGCTGGCGCTAGCCTCTTCTCCCTGCGTCCCCTCCAAATGGAATACGGCGACGGTCAAGGCCTCGTGCCAAAGTCACCTCCTCCTGCCTCGCCCTTCCCTGCCCGCTGAGTCCCGGCTGAGCTCCCGAAACACCTGGCATCTCCCCCAGTTATTCCACTCCACCTGCTGCTGAGGGTTTTTGTGTATCTGTCTACGCTGCCGCCCCGGACTCCGCTCCTGGCGCCCCAGGCACGGCCCCAACAGGAGCGCATCAATCTCCGCGCCAAAACCCAGGGAGTCTCCCCGACGGAGGGAGCCGGCCGACTACAGGCTAAAACTTGCCGGGGCACTTCCTTCCCCGCGGGGCGGTCGGCCCAGCCGCTCTCCGCGGCCGGACGGGGCGAGAACGCCTCCTTAATGCAGCGCCCTGAGTCTGCGGAACACCCGGGGGTTCGGGATCCGGGCACACGGTTTCTCCCGGCATGCGCCCGGAACCCCGCTGCCCAGCCGCTGCCCGGCAGCTGCTCCGCCAGGCAATCCGGAATGCCGTGTTGACCGGAACCCTTCCGCCGAAAGGCCGGGCACTTTTGGGCGATGCACACAGGAACCGGAAGTCAGTGGAGGACGTGACCTGTGGGAGCCCGCTGATTTAAGCTGGAAGATGAGCGTGCCTAGTCTCCTCTTGGCAGGAGGTAGGACGCCTATATACGCGGTTAACTTCCCGCCCGCCCTTAGCCGCTGGTCCTGGAGTGTTTCCTCCCTCGGCGTCCCGGCTGAGCTGACCGGCCGGTTCCGGTCCCCGAGCTTCGGAGCGATCGTGCTTCGCCGCCCCAGGGGTCCGCGAGCGGCTGCTTCCCGGACCCGGCGGCGGGCGGCGGGGTCAGATCCGGACAGCCGCTTGCTTGCCTCTGGCTGCGTTATTTTCCTGCGGCTGCGGTGTCAGAGTGA